GGAAAAATATCATTTAATCCCCCAACTGTTGGGGTCAAATTGAAAATTCTAAAAGAGTACTAAAATCACTAAACAAAGAGAGCTTTTCAGATATTCAGAGGAGAGTGAGTGTTACTAACAGTTTGTTAAAAGTTATGCAGGTTCAAGCTATAGATAATCCATCCTCAGACATTTTCCAAGCTGAAAGGGACCTCCATTCTAAATGGTTATTCCTCAGAGGAATTGAGGAGTCTTTTTTCAAACAGAAGTCCAGAATCAATTGGTTACACCTAGGGGACCAGAACACTACTTTCTTCTACAGAGTTGCCATGGCTAGAGCATCCTACAACTCCATCAGATCTTTATGCTTGGATAATGGTTCATCTACTTCTGACCCGGAGGAAATGAGTGATATTGCGGTCTCTCATTTCCAGCAGTTTCTTGCCCCTCAATATTTGATGCATATCAGTTCTCCTTTCTCCTGGTTTTTGGAGCTTCAAAGCTTTAACTGTTGTGAGCACCATAAATCAGTCTTATCCTCCTTTCCTACAACTGCTGAAATCACAAGGACTCTACTCAAGCTGAACCCCAACAAGTCTCCTGGGCCTGATGGGTTTACTTCTTCGTTCTTCAAAGCTGCTTGGCCAATAGTTGGTCATGAGGTGCTTTCAGCCATTCAAAGATTCTTCTCTTCAGGGTTCCTCCCAACTGCCACAAATGCAACAATTCTGACGTTAGTCCCTAAAAAACCAGAAGCTACTTCTATTTCTGATTATAGGCCAATTTCCTGCTGCAATACTACCTATAAATCAATTTCAAAGCTGCTTGTGAAAAGATTAAAGGTCATTCTCCCCGTCGTTATCCTCCCTAACCAAACAGCTTTTGTTCAAGGCAGACTACTTATTGAGAATACCCTATTGGCCTCAGAAATTGTACAAGGCTATCATAAGAATGGAGGACCAAAGAGAATAACTTTAAAGGTTGATATTGCTAAAGCTTTTGATACTATTAGGTGGGAATTCATATTCCAATGCCTACGGAGTCTCCATATTCCTGAAACTTTTTTAAGATGGCTAGAAGCTTGCATCTGTACAACATCTTTCTCTGTCTCGTTTAATGGCACTACTCATGGTTATTTCAAAGGTAAAAGAGGGCTCAGGCAAGGTGACCCTCTTTCTCCTTATCTTTTTGTCCTCTCCATGAATTGTTTGTCACTAGCTCTTAATAGAGCTGCTGTGGAAGGAAGATTCAACTACCACCCTAAATGCAAAAAGACAAGGCTTACGCACCTCTGTTTTGCCGATGATCTGCTAATCTTCTCCGATGGCTCCCTTAACTCCATAACAAATATCTTGGAAGTGTTGAAGGATTTTGAAAACAGATCTGGACTTGCTGTTAACATCGAAAAGACGTCTCTGTTCTCTGCAGGTTTAAAGCCCCATGAGTTAGAGCTAATCAAACAAGCAATGAATCTCTCAATTGGTTCACTCCCGATCAGATACCTTGGCGTTCCCCTCTGCACGAAGAAAATCTCCTTGCTGCAGTGTGTTTCTCTTATTCAGTCTATAAAATCCAAACTTCACTCTTGGACAGTCAGGTCTTTATCTTTTGCAGGAAGGTTGCAACTGCTTTCAACAGTCATTGCTGGGATTATTAACTTCTAGTCAAATGCTTTCATTCTCCCTAAAGGATGCATTTCGGAAATTAACTCCATCTCTGCTAAATTCCTTTGGAAGGGTAAAACTGAAGGGCTTACCTCTGCTAAAGTTTCTTGGGAGAATGTGTGTCGTAGCAAGGAAGAAGGGGGTCTTGGGTTGAAGGACATTTCCAGCTGGAATACTACTTCTGCACTAAAGCTGATTTGGTTGTTGTTCTTCAGGCCTGGTTCTGTTTGGGCTCACTGGTATACTACAGAGGTGTTAGATGGAAACATTAATAACTTCTGGGTTATTAATACAAAACAGAAATTCTCTTGGCTAGCTAACCAGTTGTTACAATTACGAGACTTAGCTTACCCATGGATCAAACAGTCTGTAGGTAAGGGGGAGAACTGCTACTTCTGGTCAAGCAACTGGTCTCCACTTGGAAAAATCAGAGATTACCTTTCACAAGAAGGCACTACAGAGATTACCTTTCACAAGAAGGCACTACTTCTGGTCAAGCAACTGGTCTTCCGATGTAGACGATTGTTAAGAGGCACTACCTATCCTCTCGAAACGCTTTCTCTGATCCGTCGTGCCTTCTCTGTAGTGCTAGTCCAGAATCTCGCTCTCATTTGTTCTTCGATTGTAGCTTCTCAGGTGCAATTTGGGATTTTCTCTCCAGCAAGTGCAACTACCTATCCTCTCGAAGTTGGGATACACTTCTCACCCAGCTAAGCTCATACTCTGTCTCAAAGCCAAGACGAAAACTTCTGCTAATTGCATGGCAAGCTTCGATTTATTGCATTTGGTCGGAGCGTAACAATCGTCTCCATCGGAACGCTTTCAAATCAATTGATACTTTGATTCGAGATGCAGATCTAATAATCCGGAACAGAATAGCTAGTATCTGCCTCACAAACCCTCCCCAAGCTTCTCAGATGCTTCAAATTTGGCTCTCCTAAAAATCTCAGATCATCTCTCATCATTCTCTGTTTCATCGCTTCGTCTCCTCTCTTACTCCTCGTGATTTCCGATTGATCAATTTGGGTACTTCATTTTCTTCATGGGCTAATTAACTTGGGCTTCTTTGATTCAATCTTGGTTCTATTTATTGTGTGTTTGGGCTGTTTAGCCAATTAGGCCTGATGGGCTATCAATTATAAAAAAAAAAAAAAAAAACTTTTAAATTATGGCCATTTTAAACATCAACTTCATATGTGAGCATTTAAAACATGAATTAAACGTTGACTAACGTTTGAGACATAGGAATTTGTTGACCAGACCAAAATAGACATGCCGTTATCAATCGTTAACTGCAATGAATGGCTTCTGTAGCGGTATATGTCGGCGTCCATAGACATGGTGTCATGGGAGAGAGTGGTGATCACGGTCTCGCTCTCTTCGTGGACTTTTACTAGATAAACTTGTCAGACCATCATCTCCTTTTCTTTTGGGATCTATCGAGATTCGGGTGATGTGAATCATGTTTCCATCCCCTGGAATGATCCACAAACACCTCCCAGGAAGTACTCGAACCTCAGAAAAAAAAAACTATTGAGGATGTAAGTTCACACGACGAGCCTTCATAACAAACTAATCAGAGAATCGCCTCACTATCTATATGCTAATCATCTACTACAAAATGAGGAGTTTATCCTTTTCTAGTTCTCACATGTTCTAGGAAAGAAAAGAAAAAGGAGTAAGAAAGACAAATCCAATTAGTTAGCCTTTGTACAGAATTTGTAAAACATATCCAAAATGATTTAAAACCTACAATTTTTGTCGGGCTTTAAAAAAACTGTCAAAGTACATCCTACATATAATATAAGAGATGATATTTAAGATTTATTAAAAAATGATCAAACTATTATGTATTATTCCACACTTGCTACATATTTTTTTTTTTGCTTTGAACGGAATGGTCTTTATAATAAGCTCAGATCGTGACGACAGATATAACTTAGCAACAGTTTTAAGACTTAAAAACTAACAATATGAATTCTTGTTAAAGAAAATTTCAAGCTTCTGCTATATTATATGAACTAAATTCCAAGGTAAAACATGGTGTCGAAATATAAATATCAAAAATTTGTTCATCATACAATTCACAAAATAAATAAGAGAAAAGAAAAGTGTCTTCACATGGACGGTGCATTCGCGGACGTGTCTTCACATGGACGGTGCATTCGCGGCGGTGGTCACATGTAGCTTCAATTTAGATTGGCTTACGTCTCCCGAGATTCGCTTGTCGTTGGTTGTGGCAAGCTCGTTTGGGATCCACACGCCATCGCGTCTCACTACGCACGCTCTCATCCTCCATGTCTCTCAGGTGACTTTCCAAAGCAACCTTCAAACTATTACAATATTATGAAAATAACCCTAAATGTCTTATTAGTATCAAGAAAGCCCTCATGAATCATTTGAAAGTGTTACATGTTGTTGAATGCTGATTTGAGATGCTGATCAGATGTGAACTTTGCAGGGTGACGATCCTGATTTGTTGCAGAGAGGATTTAACCCGCGGTGGTTTGTGGCTTGGAAAAAAAGAGGTATTAATCGTTTGTTGCTGGATGAGTAAGAATTGATAGAGACGTTTGATATTTATAGTAAAAAGGAATGATAAGGTTTTTGGCTCATAAATTTTTGAAAATCTTGAAGCCAAAGCCAAAACTATAGGATATATATATTAACTTGAATATCTTCTTGATTGTTAACATTATTAATGATTCACGAATTTAGGGGAAATTAGGATATTGAATAGTAGTTTATGGTTAGGATTAGATTAGATCATATTTTTTTTTGAAATTTGTTTAGCAATTAGTCGAGATTTAGAAAATATATTTCATAATTGCGATTGAATATGCCTTAAATTATATACCAAATATGTTGAATGGTTAGTTAGTATTGCATCTCTGTTTTGTGAAGATGTTAAAACCCGATTATTGATTTGTTTAAGGATTTGGGTACATTTGATTCACTCTAAACCCATTTTATAAACACGCGGATCCTAAAGTTTTAATGAAAATTTTAGACTAATTTACTTTTGTCGATTTTGATTAAGCCTTTGTTAATCCCAAAATTGAAATTGAAATTGATGACAATTTAGACTATTTTTCAATTTGTACTTCCCTTTTAATAATAAGAGGATACAATTATATGTTGGTTTGGGTTTACAAATGTGGATTAGGATTTAGATTGTACAATTAAACGAAATTAATTATATGTCGGTTTGGGTTTATAAAAGAGTGATTAGGGTTTAGATTTTACAATTAAACAAAATTCTATGTCGATTTGGGTTTATAGATGAGGTTTAGGGTTTGGATTTTACAATTAAATAAAATTATATGTCGGTTTGAGTTTATAAAAGAGTACTTAGAGTTTAGATTTTATAATTAAATAAAATTATACGGTTTGGTTTTATAAAATAGTGGAGTTTATTTTTATTTTTATTACTTCTTCTTAAGCACTGAAGTTAAAATTGCTGCTGGCTTTCCAGACTTAGTGATCCTC